GGCAGGGAGGGCCTGCCCCCCCCAAACTTTTTTCCCCAACATTACTCATACTAAAGGAAATGTACATTGAAAGGCTGGTTGACCCCCCCCCCCCCTCCGTGTTGGTATTGAAAGAAGTTGGTATTGAAAAATGTTGGCCTCTACAACCCCCAATCCCATCCCACCCCCCGTCCGAAAATAATATTTTCGAGTTTGGGAAGCTTATCTTTTTTCATTTTTTTGGCTTGTCAAATTTTTTTTTTGTTTAAAAAAATATTTCTGCCTGCCCCCCCCCCCCCCCCCCCACTTTCATGATTGATTGATTGATTGTATATTGTTTAACGTCCCTCTCGAGAATTTTTCACTCATATGGAGATGTCACCGTATGCCGGTGAAGGGCTTCAAATTTAGACCTATACTCGGCACTCAGGGCCATTGAGCAGTGAGGGTTCTTTATCGTGCCAGCGCGCTAAGTACCATGACACGGGACCTACGTTTTTTAAAGTCATATCCGAAAGATCCGTGACTTTCACTTCTGATGCCGAGCGCTTGGCGAAGGAAAAGTCACTACCTATTTTTACGTCTTAGGTTTGACGCGACGCCGCGAACGAGAATCGAACCCGGGTCTCCCGATTACGAAGCGAACCCCACTTTCAAAAACGATTCTGTTATAGTAAGAACCCTTGATACTGTGTTTTTTTTTATATAAGCAGTTGTAATATGATTACTATCTTGTTTTTCGATTATAAAAAGTGCACCTATGTTTTGTCTTTTATCAAGCAACTTTATCAAATTTTCTATCCTAAAAAATATCCTTTTTAAATAGACCGTTGCCACAGTTACATGTTTTCTCTAAGGGCCCTTTCACAATTGGCGCACGAGAAGAAGCGACAAAATATTCGTGCGACCGAAAAACTTTGATTTGGATCGTAAACTGTTGCTGAAATAATCGCATTTGAAAAAGGATTCGTAAGAAATTCGCACGATCTAAAGCGACCGTTGTGCATTAAATCTTACGATATATCTCTCGTCTATATGCGACTGTTATACAATGAAAGCGAGAGTTGTAAGATAATGCGAAAGGATCGCGCGAGTGATCAGGTGATCGGACGATTGAATGTGCACCAATGCGATTGGACGTAAGACGCTCGTGCAATCATGCGTTTTATGGTACGAATGACCTAGCGAGTGAGAAGGGGAATATATATATATACTACCCGTTTAAGCAGCATCCATTGTCAATTGTGGTCTGAAACAGAGATGCTTATACAGGGTTTACATATACTAGTGGCAAAGCATGGGAAATTGAAGCTGATAAATTGTGCATAGTAAAACGTTGCAAGATTACATGAGACACGTTGACAAACAGTCTCATGGTCGCATAACACACACATATACAGTTGCGATTAATCTTACGACCTTTAAAAATCGCGCATCACTCTTGAGAGTACACAAAACGTTGTAAGACGCTCGTGCTAATATTCGTGCGTTGAATTGCGATAAAAGTGGATCGCATTTGGTCGCGTCTGAATAGTGTGCATGTCAACTGTTTTGAGGAGACTTGATGCGACCACTAAAACGCATGCAACGAATGCGAAACATCGTGCAACGTATGCGAGAGCTCTGCGAGAGCTCGTGCGAAGCTAAAATATTCCGATCTCAAAGTGTTGTAAAGTGCTCGTGCGCCAATTGTGAAAAGGCCTTAAGACATTTGTAAGAAAATAGGGCGCCTATCTGATAGAAATATTATACTTTTTTTTCTTTGTCAAAATTCTACAAAATGCTGTGATGATTTAATGTTTGGTATCTTAACAATGTCTTTCCATGTCAATTTAGCATTTTCAGATATCATGTGGCACATAACATCGATATTTCTTGGTGTCCCCCCAAGTTTCAATCGGCCAGATTGATTGCAATGTTTAAACTCTCTTTTTTAAAATTCTGAGTTATAGTATTCATCTGAAAAGTATACAGCATTAAAGATAATTTTTTTCTACATATAGAATCATATCTTTAAAATGAGTTTTCACATACACTGATATTGTCATCTTCTTGGCAGAGATCATGTTATAAGCAGTTTTCCGCTCAGTGTAATGACCATGCTTACTTTGAAAGTGAATTTCTTTGCGAAGACAATAGGAAAATTCATGGGTATTTCTGTCTTTTAGACCTCTTTAATAGAACTTTTCAACAGTGAAAAAATAAAATTAAATGCCTCAACATTTATGATATGCTGTAAGTTGCATTACTTATTGAATGACCCTCATATATGGTATCGAGCATTTCCAATTTATGGTTCTAGTCAGCATCGATTTTCGATACGGTATTCACATCGAATTCGTTCTTGGACATGTATGGCGATGTTTTTTGAGGTCTGTGTTTGCTGTGCTTCTATATATTATTTATTGTTCCTTAATGCCATATATTTCTTTTGTCTTCTCAGTTATAAACCGTTTTAGATCAGCTCTTACATTCTTTCTGAACAGATTAATATTATCCCAAGAAGTCATGTTGTTAGGAAACAAAAACGTTTGATATTACAAAGGGTGATCAATAAAAATATCTTAATAAAATTATTTCACTTATACTTTTCAATTTTAAAAATTGAATTTTAAAGTATCTACTATTACATTAACTTCTTTTTCCATTTCTAAAAATTACTGAAAAAAATATCTATAAAATCTTTTCCCAATACTGTCTAACTATTTTGGAATTTGTTTTAATTTGTCGTATTTGTATATATGTTATACACTATTTTGGAATTTATTTAAATATTTGTACAAAAAAAAAAAAAAAAAAAAAAAAAAAAAAAAAAAAAAACCACTTGAAGCAGAGAAAGTTTTCTTATGACGTCAATATTGTTTTATCAGTGGTATATAAGCTAAATTTAAGCATGTGTTTTGTTTCTCGTTTTTTTTTCTTGGCCCGAATCTGTTTTGTCTTTGTTGTCTGAAGCATGTTCTCCTCTTCTTTTCAATATTATATTCAGTTACTTTAACATCATTGGTTTGATATATTGTTTATGCTGGAAAACTGACTTTTCATTCCCTTCTTTATGCTTTTTGGCCTCCATGAGCATTTCTTAACATTGTTGAAATGCGCTGTGCTTCGTTTTTTCGAATTCAGTTTATCTTCACATTGTTTAAAACAAAATTGAAAAAATACAAAAGTCAACAAGTGCAGACTGTTTTGCACAAAGATTGATTTGGCAAGCAAAAAGACGATTTCTTAAATGCAACTGCCGAAAAATTTGAGCGAACAAGACATAACGCGAAAATCTTGAAGTACTATGGTCAAATTTTTATAGACGATTGTTGAAGATCCTTTGGTATAGTGTCCTTATCAACATGAAATCATCGCTCTAAATGCAAATGTTCTAAAACCTTTGAATCCTTCCCAGGTTTCATTATGTAGCTACTAGTATATTAATGAAAACAGTATTAAAGAAAACGAAGGTATCAATTGGTTGTAGGGAAATTTTCCACATGTTTCTCTTCCAATGTACCAAAATCCCCTAAATGCTCATTTGTTACTATCTCTTATATAAACGATTATTTTGGCTGCAAAGCTTCTATAACTTTTAGAATTTAGAATAAAAACATAGTTGAAAAGGATGATCAAGAAAAATTATGATTTAAAGAAAAACTTGTTTGAAAAACATTTTACTTTTATATATACGTACACATTTGTAATGTTTGTGTTAAATTCTTAGAAAAAAATTGGTTTAACTTTATATTACATAAAGCTTTTGTATGAGATTGCAATAATTTGTTGCTTTTCGTAATTAATTAATCAAATCTCTTGAAATATCTGTTTGCTGCGAGCAAGTACTATGTGTGATTATGTAAAATACTTTCACCTTCATAATGTGGTTTTTCATCGCCTGAGACAGAAAAAAAACAAGGAGGTCGTTTTGTAAACAAAAGCAAACAAAATATTACGAAAAGTAAAATATCAATATATAACTTTAAATAAAAACAAAAATCACCTTGCGTGCAATGAGGACCCTTCCATCCAGGATTACACTTAGGACAGGTAAAATGTTCGTTCAAACAGTCTTCTCCTCCTTGGCAGTTTTTGGGACAAAAACTAACACAGTCTTCTCCCGTATTTTCAGTTAACCTACAAGCTGATATATTCATTTAATGCTTGATTTTATTTCCGAAATGGTATTCTGCAAAATAGAACTATGTTTCTTTATCTTAATTTTAAAGCAGGAAAGATGACAAACTTTTCATCAAAACATAAAATCGTGAAATAAAGTAATTTTTAAAAGATCTTTAAATTGTAATAGATAAATTCTTAAACATTAACCTGGGCTACTTGACAATGCTTATCAAATAAAATCATACTCTGGTAGTTCGTGAAATAGAATTTTATCATATACATTCTTAAGCAAACTTGAATATGTACTTCTCAAGAAATATTATATGTGAACATTATTGAATATTGTATTTCAGTAATTGCTGCCATAACCTTTGACAAAACGGTTAATCAATTTACCAAGTTATATATTGTATAACCCATTTCTTTGTAACAAATTAAAGTCAAAATATTACATATAAGATCGAAGCTGAGATACATTTAATCCTTAAACAGAATGTCATTCGCACGATGCTATACTTGAGTTACAAGTGTTTAATGAGTTTTTTGCATGCATTTGCTCAAGAACGAGGTGTTAAAAGGAACAATGCGAACATAGGAGAAGAAATTTTAAAGTTTCAGTATTTCTGATGCTATGAGGAGGCATATGAGTATGAACGAATGTTCCAGTGTGAATTTTCATTTCATTTCATGTGAATTTTCATTTCTGACGCTATGTATTTCCTATTTTTACTTAATATTTTACTCAAATTATCCAGTATCAATATGACTTACTGATTTAAAGTAACAAAAAAGCTATCTTTATTAAAAGTATTACACAAATTTGCGATAGATCAATTGATAATTCTAAAATAAGGCTCATTCTCAAATCGAATGTCTGATTTCACTATCTTCTTTTAGGAGTCTGATAGAGAAAATCAAGGATACAGATAAAATATGAAATTACCAAACACATCTACTTCACACAGAGTGAGAATCTTGTGTCTGTTTTTATAGAATACCAAACGTTTTCCATTAATGATTAATTTGCGATACGAAGTTGTTCTAATAATTGATGAATCCAACCATATTGGATTTCTTGGAGCAGCATCTATTTTGTCTGTATACATCAACTCCTCGAGTCCTGTTGGGCTGATACCAAAGAGGCGAAATCCATTCAACCGCTTTTCTGCAATGTAAATAAGGTGCAATGCTAAAATAATTAGAGAGCAATTTTATTTACACATGCCTGCAGGTTTATGGTTTATTGAAGCATTTCTTAAAAAGCAGAAAATTATAATATTCAGGGTTCTCCATCGTTTGGATTTTTATTGTATTGCAGTGTTTACGCAAAGCACTAAAATTTAGCGGTATTTTCGCGATCAAATTCGCAACTGAATCACTCTTCATTATAATTACAAAATATATATTCAAACACTTTTTGAAAAATTGCTAATTGGTTACACAAATAGTATGGTCGTACATATTGATAAAAGTAGAAACACATGCCTGAAAAGCAGAGGAAATTCTGGTCGATACAGTCGAACTACTTAACATTTTTTAAAGTAAATTTGCCGTGATTATTTGTAAAATAGTAAAGTGATTTTAAGAGTTCCTTGAACAGGTCCAATTTATTTACAACAATTAAATGACTTCGGTACGATGTAATGTTTGATATACAGAGTAAACCTATTTTAATGCAACTACCAATTAACCGTTACATGGAAGTTTGAAAACAAATTATTTGCCTTTGTTCCCTCATGCGTAAAGTCCGGCGATGGTCTAGGAGATAATTGATTGTGCAAGGTGAAGCCCTTGGTAATTAAAGATATATATGCCGTATTAGTGTTTTATCTTTAAAGAAATAAATATATCTGGTGTCTCATCTAGTTATGTAAGTTATTTACTTTCTACAAATAAGACCACTTCACTCCATTGCTTTTAAAAGTTATGAAATATTATTTGGTAAAAATTATTTTCTCTCCGAGTCGGATATTAAACCCCCTCTTATTGAAATATTCATGATCACGTGGTCTCGCATGCTTACAGCAAACAATGGTCCAATCTCGTGAATGAGCCGAAAAGCATGGTGGTCTACTACGTTTTTACTACAAACATGTTGGTTAAGTAAATTTAGGATGCGTTTTCAAATGACGGCTAAAAGCCATTTACAATTTTGAAGCGTGTTTTAGAAAAATAGGAAGAATAGGTCCAAATTGAGAATTCCCAGGCTCACAATAACAAACAAATTAAGTTTTTCTTGTTAAACAGTATTTTGAAATGCCGCTCACAAAGTCTCCACAAGTAAATAAGACTCCAGTTTTTAAACTCGATATTCGTAAATTTGCCATGTAACTGGATGAATTAGGGGACGACCATTTGATTCTGAGGGGGGGGGGGGGGGGGGCTGGCAAATTTTTTTGAGACGGATTATTTATTTTCATGCCTGTCAAGGACAGATTATTTATTTTCAAGATTATCGAGGACAGATTATTTATTTTCTTCTTTGTCTTAGGGTACCTTGATCGATTGATTCTAAAAGACTTATCATTTATATACCATAGGCGGATTCAGGATGGGGGGTGTGTATAACTTCGTTCAAGCAAGAGGTCTGGGGCCGGGTTAAGGCCCCCAGTGGGTTCTGGGCGAAGCACTGGTGGAGGCCAAGGGAGGGAAATTCCCTAGAAGCTCTTGGGTTTTCGGGTATTTTCAGAGTAAAACCAGGACAATTATAGTGGTATTGGTTATTATATAGCAAAGTATGACATTATTAATATTGGTCATATCATACTTTGAATGAAGGGGGTCCAGGGGGCGAAGCCCCCTGAAGCTCGTGGGTTTTTGTGTATTTCAAGAGTAAAAGCAGGCACAATTATGTAGGAATTGGTTAGTTATGTTCCAAAGTATGACATAATTAATACTAGTCATATCATACTTTGAATGAAGGGGGCGCAGGGGGCGAAGCCCCCTAAAGCTCTTGGGTTTTTGTGTATTTAAAGAGTAAAACTAGGCATAAAAATATTGCTATTGTACTTAAAGCATGGCAATATTAATATAATTCATATCATACTTTGAAATTTTAGGGGAGGGTCATACACATGTATGCCTTCCTTAAATCCGCCACTGTATACTTTGTATTAATTTATCGGGAAGTATTTATAATTCTTTGAAAAGAAAATCTATCTTTTGTGGTGTTTAAGAATTGGCTTGTTTTTAAAGTGATTCATCACATCTACTGAGTGCTCATTGTCATGTTGATCAACTGACTACAAGTATCCAGTCTGGTAATCTGATTTTAAATATTATTTGGTTCTAAAATGGCGAGCGAAGCGAGCCCAAAAAAATGCTGAATTGAAGATTCTGAGGTTAAATTACACGGAAATAAAAAGGTATTTTCACAATATTTAAGGTCAGATTATTTATTTTCTTTGCAGAGGAGGACAGATTATTTATTTTCAACATTTTCAGGGACAGATTATTTATTTCCAAAATCTGCCAGGCCCCCCCCCCTCAGAATCAAATGGTCGTCCCCTTAGTTGTTGCTCAGTTATTACTTTAATTTAAATTTAAAGTTTATGCATTTATAAAAAAGACTTAAGTTTCATTTTTTTTTTAAAATTACCTCGATCTATAATACTTCTCATGTGCATTGATCGTAAAACGTGTATAGAGTAGCATACTGTATGTTTCGAAGTTGTACACATCTAAAACATTGTTAATACGTGAGCACACGTCAGAGTTAGTTGCTTTTTGTACTGAGGAATAGTCACGTGAAATTGTCTTTTCCCTGAGAGTACAGCACGGGGAAACTGTAAACAAACGGACCTGTACAATGGAGTGGAGAAAACTAATTTTTATCATTGTTAATCAATCGTATGCAAATGTGAGAATGGGATTAGTAGATAAAGATGTACATAATGCATTAAGCGTGTAAATGCTTGGGAAAATGCTTCATGTCTTTCTGAGAGCTATTTAAAAAACTAGCCTTTTCGAAAAACACATGTAGTATTTTATGTAGTAACCCATAAATGCATTAAATGCAACTCATTGAGCTGACTGGTCGATTGGTCAGTCATGTTGAGTCCTCAATGAGCAGATGTCAGAAAAATAGTTTCCTCGACCTGATGATTCTCGGTATGCTTTTCCCGCGCATATGCGCAGATCCAGCATAAACGTCAGTCTTTTATAAATATGCATGAGAATATCGTGTTATTTTCCCGATCAGTACTTTGTTAATACCGAATAATATTTCGTCGAATTTGCAAGAATGCTTCATTTTTGATAGCTTGCCATACTTCAAAAATTTTTGTTTGGTTTCAGCTGTGCAAAAATACTGTTTAACACGACATACATATCTTTAAGTGCTCTATCTTTTAGAACTGAAAAGACGGTAGAGTTGTTTGATTAAAGTTTAAGTCAGGGGAAATTTATATGATTCTATTTTCTAATTATCACAGATCGTATTGTGTCGGCAAACTCTTTACTGTGTCGCACGCATAAAATTTGAATTGTTACTAAGTCGGAGAAAATTTTACTGTGTCGGGAGCAACACATTAAAACAGCTCATGGAGAACCCTGAATATTTTATGTAATCTTAAACGTTCTCTGATTGATATATAAAGTATATAAAAGAACTCACTTGGTCATTTGCAACATTATTTTGTTAAAACACATTTTGATTACACATACAAATACTCTGAAGTTGACATCAAAAAGATCCTTGAGTTTCTGATTGACATTATGTGTGTTTTGGAGAACAGGTCTTCAATCGATTGGAATGCCCATGGGTACAAAGTGCGCTCCGTTACTAGCAGACTTATTTTTGTATTCATATGAAGCAGAATGTGTGCAAAATCTTATGCATGAAAAGCAGAAAATACTCGCTGTGGCCTTCAACTCGACATTTAGATAATTATATCGACGACGTATTGACAATTTACAATGGTTACATTTGTATTTCCTTTTTGAGTAAATTTGATTATGATTATGTACAATGATAGATATAACTTGTTGACCTTAAAATAACTTTAGATTAAGTTGAGTTCCTGGCACACATTCTGAGAAATAACTGTCTGATGGAGGCAGTCTCCAACTGTAAAGTACTGAGTAAATGAAGAAATGTATTGAGCTAGTAACTAGTTTGATGTCATGATTATTGACACATTCTGAGAAATAACAGTCTGATGGAGGCAGTCTCCAGCTGTAAAGTACTGAGTAAATGAAGAAATGTATTGAGCTAGTAACTTGTTGCAATGTCATGATTATTGAAGTAATGAAATGTACGGGAATTGTTAAAAGTTTGTTTAATTTTTACACACTCGATCATTGTGTTGTATCATTGTTCCTTTACACAAAAAATTGAAACAAGTTTTATAAAATTATATTTCTATACTATGTTATAATTATGTCATTATGCTTTCTTACAGTTCATAAAGCTAATTGTTTAGCGTTAACATTGTTAATCATAATCTAGATGTTTTTCTTTGTTAACATGGTTAATATATAGAATTTTAGGTCAAATAGTATTATACAAAAAAAAGGAAATTCCCGGCGTAATTCTGATCTAGGCGTCATCTTAGTTTCCAGGCGTAATTTTTTCCGGGCTTCATTTATTTTTCTGGGCGTAGCTCATTTGCATTTTTCGCCTCAAATTCCTGCCCATTTCCTCTTGGTTTCCGATTGGGTTACGCCCGGAACGTGTGTATCACCATACTGTATATGTAGAGAGATAAACTGACGCCCGGAATTCCTTCCCTAAGTACGCCTCTATTCTCCCTATATGCCGGGCGGAACATTTTGTACAGGTCTCAAAATATTATATACTGTGTGTTTTAACTTATTCTTTTACTATTTTCAAAACAAACTATTCCTGTGAGCATTGTAAAAACACTTCACAGGCTTGAAATTGAGACAATCGAAAGAATTGCCTATTTATACTTTTACACTATTTTCATTTTGGGCGGCAAGATAATTCGTTCTAACGGCTGAAAAATAGCGACATACCAATCAAACAGACTTAATTAATTGTAAGATATTTATATAACCCGACACTCCAATCAATGCTTATAGAAGATAATTATTTTTGCATAGAGCAGATTTTTTTCGAATTATGCAAGTAGTTGTTGAGTGCTTCGAAAGTTTAATACTATTAGCCTCATCAGGGGTCACAGATATATAATTAATTTTAGGTGATACCTGATTATCTCGTCACCTATGTTCTTGTGTTTGAGTTAAGCTATGTCTGTTTGTGAATTAAATAGAGCTTTGCATTCCAGATTTCCAAGAAAGGCATTCCAATTTACAGAATTCATTTTTTTTTAATCCTGTAATACAAAGATTAAATTTAATAACCAATTCTGTAGGGCTACGCAATGACTGTTCGTGAATGTTTTGGGGGATGTATTTTGATCGGTTTGTGTTGATCGTTTGTTTGATATAATAGGATTAATTGTTGAACATGTTGAAGTAGAGTAGTCTCGATATGATCAGTGCGTCTAGAAGTCATTAAGTGTTGCATGTAATATTATAGGGTCAGTTGTGCTACTTCGATGTCTAATGCATTCTCCTTCAATAAATCCTTTAAAAACAGCTAGGCTATGAGCGTTCTGTCTGTCCTGGTTCTAAAAGGTATTTATTGTTTGATAAACGAATTGATACACGTATCAGGTTTAAAACTGTGGTCATTTTGGGCGACAAGATAATTCTTTTAACGCGCTTCGTGCAAATATCAATCATAACAGAAGTTGTAAAAGGTCTAAGATATATTTTGAAATCAAGTTCTTGTATAACTAAGATTAAAAAAAAATGGTAGAAAACTAGAAATTAATTTTAAAAAAATCGAGCACAACTTTTTGTGAGCAATAAATAATTAAAACTTTTTTTCCCTAAAGATTGCACTCTCAGCTAGTCATACATCCGATTTTTTTTCAGACCAAAACGTCAGTCAGCAAATTTCTCAATGATAAATTGTGTTTGCGGACAATTGTATCGCAATTGGTACCCATGGGAATTAGCATTACAAGGCAAGCTACTGATAGATACGGTAATATACCGGTATATCTCTATCTATATCAGTTACTTCGTTTACAACCTTTTTACATTCTATACTATACATATAACCTACATTACAGTAAGTTTGATTGTAGAATTAAAATATTCACCTAAACGTTAAATAACTTTTATATTAATTTACAAAGGTTTTATTCGTGTCCATTTGACTTTAAACGATGTTCTTTCTTACTCTTCAGAATTATTTAATTAATTTTGCCTTATCATTTAGCAAAATTGTCTCATTTTAAGTTTATCAACTAGAACAAAACCAAGATGATTATCTCTTATGAACATGCAAGAAACAAACCTAGATTCTGCCGATTTGCTATGCGAATTGACATAATGGAATAGAGGCGTCCAAAATCAACATTCCAAGAAGGACCATTAGTCACATTTTTTTCATATGTGTGTGTGCATGATTTTTTCGACGTGTCGCTATCACTATCCCAGCCATCCACTGCTTTGTCAGATGTGTAATCACTATCATAATCTGATGACTGTGAAGTCTTTTTCCACAAAGCGACATTGCGTCCTAAAGAAAACAATGTTACCTCAATTAAACGGATTAAAAAGATGTATTAAATTCAATTTTTTTTATTTAACATCAGCGAAAATTTAAAAAAAGTATCAATTCAAAATTAATTAATTTACTTGTGCGATCAATTAGACTTTATGAACTAAAGCTGGTGTTTGATTGATTAATTGTATATTGTTTAACGTCCCTCTCGAGAATTTTTCACTCATATGGAGACGGCACCGTATGCCGGTGAAGGGCTTCAAATTTAGACCTATACTCGGCACTCAGGGCCATTGAGCTGTGAGCTTAGGTTCTTTAGCGTGCCAGCGCTTACCTTGACACGGGACCTCCCTTTTTAAGGTCATATCCGAAAGACCCGTGATTTTCACTTCTGATACCGAGCGCTTGGCGAAGGAACAGTCACTACCTATTTTTACGTCTTAGGTTTGACGCGACGCCGCGAATGAGAATCGAACCCGGGCCTCCCAATCACGAGGCGAACGCTCAACCACTAGGCTACCGTGAACGGTAGCTGGTAATTGAAATGAATCGAATTCTATGGTGACATATTGATGCCGCCTATATGCAAGATAAAATTAAATTTATGGGAAAATAAAATAATTTATGACGACAAGATTAGATTTAAGTATTATATTATGTTTTTGTCATATTGTCATTATACTCAAGCATCAAATGCTTACACACATTTATTATTGGAAATGAAATATGACACCGTGCAAGTAAATTTTAGCTGTCATCCTCAGTAAACCCTGCCCCATTCTGCATACCTCGGAATACGTGCTTTTAATTGGTCTTTGTAGATGTGTCGCCCTGGATTTTCCAGGGGTCTGAATCGTTTGTGGCATTCATTGATTTGGCTGCTCGCTGCAAGGACGATTTAAAAGGGGCGAACCAAAATTCTTTCACATTTGTTCTCTAAATTTGATACTTATTTTGCGATCATTATGACCTGTCGGGTATTAGTTATTGCTCATTCCTTTATTCGTCGTCTTGACGAATTTATCAGAGAGTGGAATAATATATCTCTTGATGCCGGTTAATTTCAAGTTAGTTTTAAAGGAATTGGGGGTGGTACTGTCCGACCGAGTCAACGGTGTTTGCAAAAACCTTGTTATATTTATATCGTAGAGACGTTAACAACATTGTTAAGTTAACAAACATATCGAACATTTATGCAACAATGCAAATATTACCTTTACGAGCTCGAGCGTCATTCCTTAAGTAATGCAACATACTGTATATCATAATGAATGTTGAAGCATTTAATTTAATTTTTCACAGTTGAAAAGTTCTACTAAAGAGGTATTAAAGACAAAGACTGAAAAATATCGATGTTATGTGCCACATGATATCTGCGAATACTAAAATTACATGGACAGAAATCGTTAAGATACTAGACATTAAATCATCACATCACTCTTAGAATTTAGACATAGAAAAAATTATAATATTTCTATCAGGTAGGCGCCCTATTTTCTTACAAATGCCTTAGAGAAAACCATGCGGTAAATGTGGCAACGGTTTATCATTTTTTAAAATCAGAAGATAAAGTTGCGTGATAATTGACAAAACATAGGTGCACTTTTTTGTAGCTGAAAAAAAGATGAATAAGGAATGTGGAAACAAAGAAAAGGTGTTATCTTATTATGATAAAGAGAAGCAAGTGCTCCAAACATGTTTTATTAGTTTTGCGTATTTACAGATATCCTTTAGAATGTGTACATGTATTCAAATAAATGACTAGCAATGGTAACTTTCACGTTCGAATTTCACCTTTTAAAGTTAAGCGGATTTCTTGAAAGGGCATTCCAAGTTTGGGTGACCAGGGTGTTTTTTCCTGTGCCTGACAACGCAGTTGCATATAAGCCTAGAGAAATAAATAAGATTTTGAAGAAAAAAAAGTAAACAGTACTTTTCCATTGGTCATATTAGATAGATCTAAGACATTGTAAGATCTTTTGTTCCCATAGCAAATGAAAACAATGAAAGGAAGATTGTACAATCTCAGATATGTTATGGGATATGATAATTGTCAGTGCCTTTGGGGGATCCCTAAAGATGAATATGCTGAGGTTTTCTGTGCATGGATACAAAGACATAATACATATTTATGTAAAGGGTAACAGGGAGTACCTTGAAGGATTGAAACTATTAAGAATATGTTTTATGTACTTTTTCATATGTTTAGATGACAGGTTGCATTATTTGTTGAACGACCCTGATAGGTACTATTGCGGATTTGGCAAAACAGCAGATCACTTACGCTCAGTGATGGGTTGCTTTTAATCCATTTGGAATGCTGATATATACAAAGAGCATCTGCTATTGGTATTTGTCATAAACGTGTATGTTTTTAAAATTGTAACGTATCATACAAGGTATAAAACCCTGTCAATGTTATGTAACATTGTTTGATATTCATGATGTTGCCTATGGTATACAGAACAATCATTTGACCCTAAATTTTTGTGTTGCTTGTTTATATTTCACAACAGTTTTTGTATGTACACATTTAAACTGCAATACTTATGGGTAAATTTACTTACCAACGCCATTATCTGACATCGTACATGCAAGATGCAAATTAATTATGTTGACATGCAACTTATTTATGTTTCCATGCGAGATAATTATGCGAACATGCAAGATAATTATGTAGACATGCAACTTATTTATGTTAACATGCAACATAATTATGTAGACACGAGACTTGTTTATGTCAACATGCAAGATAACTAAGTTAACATGCAACTTATTTATGTAAACATGCGACTTATTTATTCAACATGCAAGTTATATTTCAATTTGCAAATTAATAATGTCAACACATGCAAGCTGATAAGTTGCATGTTAAGGAGGAACAGGACCTTTCGCTGAAAAAATTCCTGTCAGTGATTTTTTTTCGTATTTTTTATTATACTAATTTAATATGTACTTAACATTTTAAAACGGTCCTGTCATGGGATTTCTTGACTTATTTAAAAGATATCGCCCCACAAATACCGCCTTGTTTAGAGTTTGTATGGAGTTAAGATACTTCATGTTTACGGGCCCTTAACGGAGTCCATAATGCGAATTTTTACGCACAAACGATAAATATGATAGATAGCACTATATAATCAAATATTCCAGAATATTCATAGTGTTCAAATTATATGAAACCAATTGTTTTAATTTTATATAGTATTTGGATGGGATAATTTCTGCATTTTTCAAGGCAGCTTGAACGACAAAAACCTCATTTGGAAAAATTTTTGTCAATAAATATTTCTAAATTTATGATTGAATGTCAGTCCTTCATCGTAATTATTTACTGCATAAATATCAGAGGGTGAAGCTTACCTCAATATCGCACAGCATGATAAAAACGCTTCACATTCGTATTTTCCGAGTGCGGGAAATCAATTGTGACGTCACACGAAAACATAAACATTATATAGAGAGAATCTCTGCTACTAAACACGAAAAAAAATAATTTTAAAAAATCTGCTTTAGAAATTGATCACGATACATTGACTGTGACCTGTTTATTATGAAATAAAACTGATCATGACGGGTGTGTGTACTTGATCTCGCTGCACTGAGAATTCAAACACTACGTCTATGACGTCACTGACGTCAGACTGCAGGGTAAAGAGAAACAAATGTGTGGATTGGGCAACTTCACAATATCTAAATAATGGCAAGATCTTTAAAAATTTTATTAATAATAATTTCTAAAATCAAATGTTTAAAAAACAATTTTAGAATTTAGAATAAAATTACACAAGAACTGTTGATTTTAACAATGTTTAACATGTATATCATCACCGATTATGACGTAATATGTCTTTTTAGTCATGTGACATGTGTCCTGTCTCTCATTTCAAAATTTTCAAAATTAATAGAAAATATAATTCAGATTTTACCCCATTCATACGACGAAAATTTGCTATTTATAACATGAGTAATTTACAAACGTAAGTAAAAATGAATTTGCGATGCGTTCAGACGAGATTAATGTACTGTATGTAAACCTCATATTTTCTTAAAGAATGAGGAAACACATTCAGAATGGTGAATTTTTTTTTAATGTTCCCCAAAGAAAGAAAAAAAATCCAATCGACTGATTGGTAAGACAGTTCCGAACTTTATGACTAAGAACAAAGATTGGTATGAGAATATTTTAATGGAGATGGGAAAAAATCTACAAATTTTGTTAAAAGTTAAAAAATTCTTTGGCCCGGCCAAAAAGACTGTAACAGAGTTGTATGTAAAGGAAAACGTGTCTATTTCCATCTATTGGTTATCGTCTTCAGTCCATTATAGGGCAATTAGAAATCTTTATCCTGTTGAAAAATCTACCATTTATATGATTATGATCATCAAGTTTACAAGGCATTCATGAAACATCTGCTTGAAGAATTCGTGTTTTTTTTCCAAAAAGGGGAAAAAAAAGGGGAAAAATAAAGAACAGTGAATGATCTCAAATATTTTAAACAAATATGTGAAGCGAAAAACGAAAAAAAAATGACCCCAGGAAATTGCCGCCATGGATCTGGTGCTAAAGAGGAGTAAGAACCCCTCTTCAAAAGTCACACCCAGCATGAGCCCTACGATTGACCAGGTAGACGGAAAATTCCGTAGTAAAATTCCGTATCAAAATAAAGGCTTAACAATTTGATGAAACATGCAGAAAAAACACGCTCCAGTAATACTGTAAAACGAAAAAAAATTGGCGAATACGTATTTTAGCGCAAACGCAAGTGGGAATGCATTAGCGCAAATAAATTTTAGCGCTTGCACTTATCATTAAGGTCTTCAATCCCTAATAGGAAGAAATTCAATGAAATTGAAGACATAACAGATATGTAGGCATTGAATACTCAGTTTATTTAGACATACTTCCCATTTATTACTATAAGTATGTTTAATGCGATGTGTCCTAATTCATGACCTTGAATTTTGGTAAGAGTTATCTCCCCTTTTCTAATTAATAAAAAAAATCAATTAGAAAAAATTTAGCTGGTCAAAAAATTGTTTTCAATTATCATTCTCTTTTAAAATTTCAATGCATCTTTCCACCACAGGATTTATTGATATTCAAATTATTTGAATTTTTATTTTGAAAAAAACGCTTTTCCCCATAGACTTCAATGCAATCTTGGTTAATTAACTACTGCTTAATTAATGAACTTTTTGAAAATTTCTCGTGGGCAATCCTTTTCCACTATAAAATGCTTTAATATAATATCAGAGTATTGTGTACTTGACGGACATTTAAGGCTAGAGAATTTGGTACCATTAGGGATTGAAATCCTTAAAATATATGAATGTCAATTTTTTTTTTATCCACGCCCGTATTTGAATTTTTGGTTAGTCAAGCACGGAAACACAATAGCCAAGTAGGTATATAAGTAAACATTCGTCAACTTTAGATGTACCGTGGTGTTGCAATCACTTGGACGTGGCACAATGTTAAAGTTTATTTTAAATAAAAGAAATGGAGAATTTACGCATTTTTTTTCGTATTAAAACAAGGCACGCATCGAAAGAAAGTTACTTGGATAAACGGTAATCATAATCAGGTATTGTCTGCAAGCTCAACCGCCATGCTTGATTGCATTGTTTACCTCAAAGCGATATGATTAACATGCCGAGAAGCCAAACTTTGAAGATGCTAATGATAATTATCGGATAACAACTAACAATACTTTAATCAAATTATAATTTGGCAAAACTTTCTTGATCGATCCTACCATGTACACTGCTAGAGTTTGTATATAAAATCAACGACACTTCGACATTCCATATTCGTGCGTTTCGGTTTACAAGTATATGTGAAAGTATCGAACACACACGTACAAAATACAATTTAGAAATCCGTTAGCGCACAGTAAATTTTACTGTTTAGGGGCTCTTGCGCCAAAGGCGCTAAAATAAGTAGTGCGCCAAATAGTCTCGTTTTACAGTAGTTGCATTTGCTAACGAGATCAATGAACATAGAATAGAAAGTTTCCAATGGACACGATTTACTTTAAACGAGTTTGTTTATATTTCTTTAACATCAACTTATTCGTCAATAGGCTACGTCGGTTTAAACAAGAGGTCATAGGCCACATCAATCAACTGAGCACTGTGGGTAGGGAAAAGTAAAAATAAATTCAGTATTCAAAAGCTTGAATGCATAAGTGGTCCCGATCTCCCCTCAAAAAGGGGAAGGGGGTTTGATTTGAATTATCTTGAATCTACACCTACAAAGAATGCTTACATACTCGTATTTCTTTGACTTATTGTGGCATTTGTCCTCTGAGTTTGGCATTCTATTTTGGATGCACTCTACCCCTGGGGGTGATTATTTAAACAGGATTTAATATATATTACCTAAAGATGCATCTATATAAATAAGAACAATCATGGCTTTGCTATATTCTTGAGAAGAAGGTTTTTTAAAGACTTTTCTTGTATATTTCTATGTACATGTACAATTTTGATAGGCTATGGTGACCCTGCACTACCCCCAGGGATCATGATTTGAACAAATTTAAATATAAACAATCTGAGAATGCTCCAACATAAATATAACTAATCATGATTATTTAAACAGGATTTAATATATATTACCTGAAGATGCATCTATATAAATAAGAACAATCATGGCTTTGCTATATTCTTGAGAAGAAGATTTTTTAAAGACTTTTCTTGTATATTTCTATGTACATGTACAATTTTGATAGGCTGTGGTGACCCTGCACTACCCCCAGGGATCATGATTTGAACATTTAAATATAAACAATCTGAGAATGCTCCAACATAAATATGACCAATCATGGTTTTTATTTGTACTTAAATGAATTTTTTTTTTGGTATATTCCAAGGTAAAACTTTGATCGTCCAGTGTGGTCAAGCTTTACTCCCAGGGGTAAATGGTTCGAATGTACACAACCCAAAGATCCTACGACATTAGATTTCAGCTTCTTAAGAAGAAGATTTTTAACGGGATATTTGCATTTCTCAATTTTCAAAATGAATAGAAAATGAAAATGAAAAAACATACCTCCATAAACTTCTATTTCATATACGGTTGTTTTCCGTGTAAAGGAAATGTTTAGCATACTTGTTCTCAGAACATAGCTGCAGAATACAAGAGGAATGCCTTCCTTAATCGGTCCGATGTAACATATCTCGTTATTTAGAGTTTTGATGGATACGTTGTTTGACGAATTAACTGTAAAAATCCAAGCAAGAAGAAAAAAATAACATCATATTTGATATAGAAATTGGTCCGATATTGGTTTAAACTACAGCTTTGTCAATAGTGAATTTCTAAGCAAAACATTTTAATAAGTCAATTTCAAAGCAAAAAAACTTTATTTATTACCGCGAATATTTAAAGCAGATATTATAAAACTTCCATGGAAATCGATCCGTATTCGTCTGATGTCCTCAGATGTGCTCAAGTTCCCATCAAGACTTGGCCTGGTGGAATTTATTTTGTATGCTAAATTTACTTGAAACAAAAATGTAATTCATTTGATAAATATTTCGTTAAATTGTATATAATAATATAAAAAATCAAACTTTTAATTGCATACTGGACTGAGGTCTTTCAAACACTTTTTAATATCTTGAATGAATTACATAGCAAGAGACCAAGAGATTTGGAGATATAAGGAAGATTTTACCATTCTGAATTTATTTTCACATTTAAATTTATTTTCATCATTGTTTGAATGCTTATTATGTGTGGATTAGGTATTTTTATGCGCCCGAGTCGATAGATCCGGGGCGTATTTTGTTTTTGTCCTGTCTGTCTGTCAGTCTGTGTCTGTTTGTCTGCAAACTTTAACCTTCGCTATAACTTTTGAACCATGAAAGATAGAGACTTCATATTTGGTACACATACTCCACTAATGAAAGTCTTTCAAACGACACCAAGGTCAATGACCTTGTGACCTTGACTGTGACCTATATGCTAAAAATAGTTTTTTTTCCCTGCAAACTTTAACCTTCGCCGTAACTTTTGAACTATAAAAGATAGAGACTTAATATTTAGTATGCATACGACACTAATATATAAGCTCTTTCATATTTTCATATGATACCAACGTCAATGACCTTGTGACCTTGACTCTGACCTATATGCAAAAAATAGCTTTTTTGTCTTCAAACTTTAACATTTGCCATAACTTTTGAACCATGAAAGATAAAGACTTCAAATTCGATATACTTACTTCACACATACAGTTCTTTCAAATAATAATAAAACTTTATTTAAAGAGGGTAAACCGATTAGTGCAATGCACTAGTCTTCCTCGGGGCCCTCTATACATGGCTAGTACAATTATGTATACAATAGTACAATAATCAGAAAAATTACAAGTATATTTCATACGTGAATTACATTTGGAAAAAAAAAAAAGAAAAAGAAAGTATATACAATGTATTATCAAAACATGGAAACAAGTTACTAATTACGAAATGTTGCGTCCATTGATGATAAAATTTTCTACATTTTTACGGAAAGATTGTACAGTTGGGGAAAGACGTACATGTAGAGGTAATTTGTTCCATAAATGAACGCCTGAATATTGAAAAGAATTTTTAAACAGATTTGTTCGATACTTTGGTAGACTAAGGTCATAATTGGATTCAGAACGTAAAATATAATTATTGGAGGAAATAAATTCGAACGAGTCTCTCAGATAATCAGGTGTCATATCATGAAGTGTTTTAAAAAGCAGTATGTATTTATGAAAATCTATTAATTCATATATAATCAGCCAACCAAGTTTCACAAATAATGGTTGTGATGGAGCATCTGGTGCCACATCTAATGTAATTCTTGCTGCTCTTTTTTGTAATTTAAAAACTCTTTCTATGCCAGCACCTGGAGCATTGCCCCATATAGTTAAGCAATAAGGATCACTGCATCATAAATAGGGATCTTACCTATAGGACCGGGCTTGGTTTTATTCTCTACAAAAAGCTTGTCGATTTCCGTTCTGATTAATGGCATTAGGCTAAATACATATAACAATTTGTTTTTCCTAAATCTTTATTTCAGTGAGTAGAGATAGGAGGAACCCATTTTATTGATTTTCTGAGTTTGTTATCTCCAAATGTAATAAATGATATTTGTCTTTACTTCTCATTTTGCATAAAGGTAATGTCTACTGTCTCTGAAATTCTATTCTTAATGTCTAGGCTATTTATCCGTGGATATAATAAAAACTTGTCGTTAATGTGTGCAAATTATGAAGGCCTAAATGAAATCCAAATGAGTGCATTTACTGAAATATGTAGCCAAAATCAATGTGATTAAATTCTAAGGAATATATACAATTGAAATTCATCGCAGCTCAATGCTGCCAAGAATACCCGTATTGAGTAACACACATACTGAGTTATTCTTGTCCTCGGAGAAAGTGTGCTTATACTGAGGTTCGTTCCACCTGACTGACAACTGTACATTGGATTGTTACGATTTGATATCTCTTTAGTTTTTCTTATATCAAGAATGGGCATGCATAAGGGATAGATAATTGAAGGAAAAATACACAAGTCTATAAAACAAATTAAAATAGTCTTTGAAAAGGCGAAATTTAAAGCTGTATAAGTGTTTTACCAGGTGGATTCGAACCCCCGACTTTAAAAAGAGAGTATCCAAGATGTAAAAGTCAGCGCCTATATCAACTGAGCTAGTCTGACTATAAGAATGAATAGCATAAATTTAGAGAAGATTTTGAAAATCTAGTTTCCTTATTTTTTGTAGGTTTTTTGTGAATTTCGACCCCAGGGCAGGGGTGCCCCTAAAAAATCTTATCGTAAATTATTTCTTGCATCCTAACCTATCAAAATATTACAATTTTATTTAGGGGCAGGCCTGCCCTGATGGACTTCAAGGCCAAAATTCATGCAAAAATCAACGCTTTAAAGGACAAAATGATGTTTCGATCAACTTTGGAGGTTTATTGTAAAGTTATAAATAATAAATATTAGATATAAAATACAAATTTGAAAAATTTAGACATATATACGGTAGAAAAAACAAATTAAGACTGATTTTCAAATGTCACTTTTTCCGGGAAATTGTTCTCTCCTATAGGTCAATTCTTTTGTTAAAGCGAATACATCCTTTAAAGATGGCAGAATTAAGGAATAACTGTCTTATTTTTCGAATTCATGAAGTGATCAATGGATTGGCTTGTGTGATAATTTGCATAAACGCCGAAGGCGTTTATGCATAAAATTATCACACAAGCCAATCCATTGATCATCTTCATGAATTCGAAAAATAAGACAGTTATTCCTTATATTTACATGCTTTGATTCCGCCAATCCACGGGCTCCAAACCTGCTTCTCTCTAGGTGTTGTCCCGCCCTGCACGTGGTTTTTTTTGGAACCGCGCCAAAACATTCATGAGGAAATAAATTACATTTACAATTGGTAATTTTATCTCGGACAAAGACATTGGAAATGTAAATATTGTACAATGAAGCGCATTGAAGTGGTAAAATTTTCCGTTTGACTGGAACGTTTTGAGCTATCTTTAGAACGATGATTGTCATACAATGACACGCCCATTTCTTTAGAAAGGAAAATTCGGTCGGATGGTTCATTCGAATACCTGTAGAACAGGTATTCTATAAATATAATAGCCAATCAAATTGGCGGTCTACATATAAACACCGAGTAAGCACGTGTTCGACCGATACTTGTGTTATGGTAACTCCAATGAACATGATAAATTCATAATTATGGACAAATTCGTTGCAATATGTGTTTTACAGAAGCAGGAACTTTCAAACTTTCTCTCCTATGATATAAAAATCTCAATTTCGGTGTAACTCATGTTGCTTGTCACGAAGAGTGGGGTGTCCTTAAACATAACGACGAATGTTTCTTTTTCGTTTCTAAAGAAATGGGCGTGTCTTAATGTTATAATTGACGTTCAAAACATGACTCAGAACGTTTCATCCAAACGGAAAATTTTACCACTTCAATGCGCTTCATTGTATGCATTATAAAAAAGTTTCCGCGTGTGTAATGGGAGAAATTTTTTAATTTTACGTAACGTAAATAGTTTATACGTCAAGGACTTGCAAACAGAATCAATATGACTAAACACCAAGGTCATTGACCTTGTGACTTTGTCTGTGACCTATATGCTAAAAATAGTTTTTTTGAACTTTAACCATAACTTTTGAACCAAGAGAGATACGGACTTCATATTTGGTATGCATACACCACCAATCAAGTTCTTTCAAATTATACCAAAGTCAATGGCCATGTGACCTTGACCTATATACAAAAAATAGCTTTTTTCGAACTTTTTGCCGCCGGGCGCATAGTGTTTCAGAAACAATCTTGTTGTTTTAGTTACAAGGATTGAGCATGAAAAATATTTCAAAATATCAAGATTACATTTTTATATGCAATTATGCTGCTGCTAAAGTAAAGATAAAAAATTTTGTTTTTTTTCCAAAAAATTGAATTTCTAAATGAACCTTCGACACACGAAAAATGTTTTTTTCTAAAAAATAAATTGAATGATTTCATGCTTAAAGTTTTCCTGACAAATACAGAGAGCTTTTCCTGTGTTCAGTTTGCTGGATGACTCCTTTGCGACCAACTGCACATTTGCTGTAAGCAGGGTCATTATGTTTTCATTACTATACATTTTTTAGCTCACCTGAGCCGAAGGTTGTCGTTGTTGTTGTAAAATTTTCATATTTCCATTTTCTTCTCAAGAACCACTGGGTCGATATCAACCAAACTTGCTACAAAGTATCCATGTGTAAGGGGATTCAAGTTTTTTTTCAAATGAAGGGCCACGCCCTCTTCCAAGGGGAGATAATTATGAATTAAAGAAAAATTGATGCCATTTTAAAAAAATCTTTTTCTCAGGAACCACTGGGCCAGGAAAGATGAAACTCAAGTGGAATCATCCTCGTATTATTTAGATTTAAGCTTATTCAAATCATGACCCCCGGGAGTAGGGTGTGGCCACAATGACCGATCAAAATTTTACATATGAATATATAGGAAAAATCTTTAAAAATCTTCTTCTCAAGAACCATTGAGACAGGAAATATGAAACTCGTGTGATATCATCTTCAGGTAATGTACATGTAGAAACAAATTTGTTCAAATCATGACCCCCGGAGGCAGGATCAGGCCACAATGGCTGATCAAAGTTTTACATTGGAATGTACAGGAAAAATCTTGATAAAATCTTCTTTTCAAGAACCATTGAGACAGGAAAGATGAATCTCATGTGAAATCATCCTCAGGTAATGTAAAATCAAGTTTATTCAAATCATGACCCCCGGGGATGGGTGGGGCCAAAATTGCCGATCAAAGTTTCGCATAGGAATATATAGAGAACTCTTTTAAAATCTTCTTCTGAAGTACTTCAAAGCCATGATTAGTGATATTTATATGGAATCATCCTCAGGTAGTGAAAATTCTAATTGGTTCAAATCATGATCCCCCGGGGGTAGGGT